CACAGGACATACTCACTGTTGACAGAGAGCTTTTGGTGTGCCAGGTGCCAGGCTGGTGGGGCAGTCTAGAGATCAGGGTTGCCCTTCCTCCTCCTAGCCCTACCCCAACCCAGATCTCCCTCTGAGGCCATCTCTTTGTCCCCATAGGCAGGAAGATGATGGTGGTGAGTGTCTGTCTTGGGCCTGGCCCAGGGTCAGGGCCTTCATAAATCTAAAGGAGACAAACCTAAAAGAGTCTATAGACTCTGTTGGCTGAAAATAGAACATTTTCCATTTTCTATCACTTTGACTCCATTTTCCTAGAGGGACAGAAACTTAAGGCTTGTAATTTTCTGGATCTTTCACCCAGCTTTCTAGGGGTACCAGAGAGTCCCTTAGCATCTCTGTCTCAAGTGTTGTCAGCACTTCTTGTCTCAAGTGTTGTTCCATAGGGATGATGGCTGACCGACCTGTCCCCAGCCAGATGGCCCTTTCATGTGTGGCTGGGGACACAGGCTCTGCAAGGCTGTCTGTAGTCTCATTAGACATGTTCCCATAGCCAGTATCCTCTGGGCTGTCTGTCCTGCCAGCTGGGGGTGGCTGGGCAGCAAGGTCCTTGTGGTTCTTTCTGGTGCCGTTTTCTATTTTCTCCACTGAGATGACACCAGAATGCCTTTCATTCTTCCAGGGACCTTTGGAAACTCCAGCAAAAAAGATGCTAAGAGTCCCTGCCCTATCTGAAAGTTCCAACCAGTATTTTGAGAATGGAGGAAGGATTAAAGGGGAAAAACATGCCAGAAAAATTAAAAAGAACAGAGGTTAATAGATGAAAGAATATTTCATTACATACACACATCATTCATTTCTCACAAAAATCCCGGAGAATGTTATGATGCCCACTTTATAGATGAGAAAACTGAGGCTCACTGAGCAAAGTGGCAAGCCCAACCGTAAGGTAAGCTTGAGTCCAGTGCCGACTCTGTCTCCATCGTGCTACCTGCCTCAACCCAGACCCCACCCTATCCTCACTTGCCATGGGCATCTCCTGCTCCCCTAGATGGTATCTGTGGCCTAGCATTGTTTGCCTTGTTGCCTCCACTTAAACCTCCCATTCTTCCATCCTGTCCTCTACACCAGGAGGTTACAAGGACAGAAGCAACTCTATGCTAATTTTAGCCTGGGCTTTCTAGAGGCAGTGATGGTCTCTCAGCAATCAGGAGCCATATTCCCCAGCAAGTCCCTCATCTCTTTGATACCCCTGCCCGATTCAGGTGGTGATGTTTGCTGCTCTGGATCAAAGCTGTCCCGGACCCCACAGCCACCCCAGTTCTGGACAGAGTGTCTCACATGGGCAGTAAGTGTCCTCCCTACCTCCTGTTCCTGCCCAGCCTGGGGAAGGGGCATCTGGGAGCCGGGTCTGAGATGCTCACTCTGCTCACACCCATGGAGCAATGCAGAGGGTCCCTGCAGGCAGCCAGAAGCCCACAGCCTAGTGTCATTTGTATTATGACATCCTTAATATTTTCCCCTTTAAACCAGTGGATTTTGTAAAAACAGTCCCATCCTAACTAATAGTAGCTGTCAAACACAGATGTGATATGCTACCCTTTACTATTTTTTAAATACATTTTAGATTTTCTAAAATTTGTGTGAATATAAAAATAAAAAATATTTGACCACGTACTCTCCAAACACTCCTGGGGTGTGTTCATCTCACTCTTCTCTAGACTTCTGTGTGCTGACAACCAGGGGCAGCCTGGCAGGTGGGACCTTTCCCAGGTGGGGAGACAGCAAGCCTGGCTGGGATCCCTGCTCTGCTGGTACTAGCTCTGTCACCCTGCACTTGTTCCTGTGCCTCTTGGAGCCCTGGGTTCCTCTTCTCTACCATGGGTGGTGGCCCTACCTGGCACCTGGGCTGCTGTGACATTCAGCTGCAGGATAGCTGTTGTGTGTCCAGTGCAGGTCTGGCATGGCCCTGCCTGGCCAGGTAGCCTTTTCTCTATGTGTGACAGACAAAGGGTGTGGCAGTGAGCCAGATGGCAGTGGGCCCTCTGGCTGGACCCCAGGCACTCCTACCCTCTGCCAGAGCCAGGCTTGGTATCCCTGTGGGCTCTGCCTGACAAGACCCAGCTCAGGAAGGTTCTTAGACATCCTGGCACCTCTGCCTGTCTGTCCAGCTGGGCATGGGTCATCAGTCACATGGACCAGAGCATTTGGCCTGGTAGGCAGAGGCTGCTAAGTGGCACTAAGCACCGGATGGGCAGAGACACTCCCAGCATTCCTATCTGTTTGGCCCCAGGAAGCCACTGCCCCTCACTCTGCTTCATGGCTTCCTCTGTAAGATGGGGTTGAACTCGGTAGCATGGGCACCTCCTATTAGCACAAAAGCAGACTTGGCAGGAAGGGCAGGGGATGACTAGACATGGAATTGGGAGTCACATGGGTACTGAAGCAAAAGCCTATTTACAGGGATGCAGGATGGAACCAGTGAGGGAGCGAGAGATGTGATGCTGGTCCATTTGTCTGCTTCCTTGTCATGAGCTTTGAGTGTCTTCACTAAGCCAGGCTAGTGCAGGTGAGAGGAATCAAGCGGTAGGCAGTCAGGAAGGCTCCCGGTCCTGGAGGAGCTCTGGCTGGTATATGTGGGGCACTGTACCCAGAAACTGCTGACAGACAGTGACCTCTGCTATCCTCCTCGGAAGGTGGGTCCTTGGCTGCCTGTGTCACTGTTTCCTGGAAGCCAGGAATGGTCTGGGCCCTTAGGTGGGAAGGAGATAGATGCAGGGCCTGAAGACCACAGATGGCAACGTCTCTGGCAAACTCCTAAGATGTGGACCCTTGGGTCTGGCCTCCAAATGAGCAAACTAGAATCTCAGGGTGAGGCCTGGAGATCTCCACAAAGGACATGCTCCCAGCTGATTCTGATATTCTGATGCTCACCAAAGGTCAGAACTTCTGCAGAGAGGCAGGTTGCCAGGGAGACCTCACACAGAAGGGACGGAAGTGTCACAGAGGGTACTGACACTTTGAGCCCAGTTGAATTATTGCCTGAAAATAGAAATGTTGTTCTTTTTAAAGCTGGGAATTTGCCCTCTCAATACTCCAATAACTCTGCATCCCAGAGCTACAAACTGCAGTTTAGAAGACTAGCCAGCCATCCTCCAGTTGCCAGGATGAAAAATAGCAGCCTGATGAAGATAAGATCAGAAGGGGCTGCTGTTCACCACCACCCACAGGGTGCAGGCTGTGCAAATGACCTTTGTGCTCATCTCCTGACAACCTCAGGAGGGGGCATTTTTACCCCAGAGGAGAGAAGGAAATGGCCAGGGCATCAAACTTGGCTACGAGGCTGCCAGGCTTGAGAGTCCTGGCCTTTTCTCAATGACTTTGGGGGTGGCACAGCTGTACCATGCTCCCCAAAGTGGGTGAGAGTGACTGCTGCTCCCTTCATGGGCATCACTTCAGCCCATTTCCCGTCTTGTCAATACCTGTCCTCAATGGTGGTGGCCTGGGTCACCAGATGCCTGTCACAGAAGGAATTTCCCTGATTTCCCGAGCCCTGGGATCAACTTCAGGAGAATTAGTGGGTGCTTATGTAAAATGATAATGGTTGAAGGATACAATCATAGCACACATGCAAATATAAAATAAATACCTGCCTGACATTTCATTTAATTGGTGAGGAAATCAGTAAGATATTTCTTCTCGTTCATAAGTGAATTCAAAGTACCACACATATAAGGCAGAATGGTAATATGAATTTATAAGTGGATGCAAAATTGGCTGAATACAAGGGAAGAGGAGTGAGACCAATTGTATTCTGAGTGGACTATGATTACTTGTATGTCTGTGAACAAAGCTCTTCTGCATTGCTATCAATTATCTACAAGTTACACAGTGTGAAATTGCTCAGGCAGGACTCCATAGAATCAGAGAATCTAAAAGGCTGTTCTTAGATAATGCCTACTTCTGCATCAAAGATACCCAGGAGTCTTTTTGGTTCATTTCAAAGTCTTTCAGTTACCAGAAATCTGGCTGTGAGCTTCCTAGCAGCCAAAAAATAAAAGGAAATCAGCTTCAAGACTGAGTGTCTGTAAGAACAGATATATACTAATTGTTTGCACCAAGCCCATCTTCTCATTGTGTTGAGACTGAGTACCCCTGCAAGAGGGCACTTCATAAAGTGAACACAGTGAGGTAGAAAGTAACATCCTCAGGCCGGGGATTAGCTCAGTGGCGCCCCACTTGCCTTGAAAATGCAAGGTCCTGAGTTCGATCCCTCATACTGCAAAAAAAAAAAAAAGTAACATCCTCAACAATATTCCTACCATAAGTACAGTGTACAGCAGTGACCATGGGGTAGCTGGTTCTCAAAGGGGGATTCCAGAGCAGCAGCAGGAGCTTCACCTGAGGACTTATTTGAAATGCACATTTTCAGGCCCCACCCCCACCTGCTGAGCAATTCATGCTTTAACAGGACTTCCAGGTAGTGCTGCTGCAAGCTGAAATTCAGGAGTTATGGGACAAGTGTGCTCAACCTCGCTGTCATATTAGGATTACCTGCAAAGCTCTAACCTGATATAACCCCTGGGCCCTGCCCAGACCAATTTCACTGGAATCCATGTGTACAGGATGGGTTATGTGTATGTGTGAAGCTTCCAGCTGGTTGTACTGTGCATTCAGGAGGGAAGCCCATTGTTGTTGACAAGCTGAGGACACCTACTCCAGAGAAATCCACACCTGCACATGGGCTTATTCCAGACACCAGGAGCTCCTTCCTTCCTCTGTGTCTTCAACACCAGGCACTTCCCACAGAGGTGGCAGATCCCAGGCCCCAGAGATGAAAATGTGCACTCATTAGACACCACTGGCTCCTGACCTCTGGGTACCAGTACCTAATGGGAACTTTGGAAGTGTCTAATGACAACTCTGGGTAGGCAAGAGGAATGGGGATGGTGACAGGATGGCGATGGCGCCCATGGCTCACACTGCATCCCAGTCTGGTGCTGTGTTCTCTGCAGGCTGTGCAGGGCTATGGGACAACATGAGCTGCTGGCCCTCCTCCCCCTCAGGACAGACTGTGGAAGTGGAGTGCCCAAGGTTCCTGCGGATGCTCACGAGCCGAAATGGTAACCACTCAGCCCAAGGGGCCTGGTGAGGAGACCCAGAGCCTTGTCTGGGAACAAGCTGTGGGTGAAATGCTGGGAGGGGGTGCTTACTGGGGATTAGTAACCCTGCAAGGGGTGGGGGGAGGCTCAATTCTCCCAAGGAAGTGAGCGGGAGGCAAGGCACTGGGGAAAGTGTTAAAGAAGTTGGGCTTGCTTCTCTCTGACCACCATTTAGGAGTGCCTCTCCTTCCTGCCATGTTTCTATCTCCTTAGCAATCAGGCCCTGGCTCCAGGCCCTGTAGCTGGACCCCACCTGGCAGTGCCAAATGATCTGGCCCTCAAGAATGGTCACTTCTTCCACCCCTTCTGCCAGGCATTTAGATATACATGGGCTCATTAATCAACCAAATCTCTGTACATCACAGATCTTTTTTCTCAGCTCCAATAAATTGCTTGACCCAGTGAAGAGTAATAATAAAAACGAGGACTAAGAGAGGTTTGCCTTAATGTTCTCGGCAACAGGTAGAAACACTGACTCAAACTCAAGTGCTGATTTCAAAGTCAGTGCTGAGTCCCTGGCAGCATAGTCAATGTAAGTCTAGGCTCCCCTGGTCAGGGTGGCCCTGGGAGAAGGCAAGATAGATTCATGGCCTTTTGCCCCTCCCCCTGGCAGAGGTCCTTTGTGATCTCTTGCCTGCCCTGGCCTGGCTCTGCTGCTCCCTTCCTTGCCCACGCAGAGAGGAAACCCATAGTCAAGGAGGCCCTTCATATGAGCAAACCAAAGAATCCCTCACTGCTTTACAGATAAAAAAAAAAAAATTGAGGCTGAGTGACAGTGAGCCTCTCTGGCCATGAGGTGAGTAGCATCCCACTAAACTGCTTTTCCACACGTCCCCTGCAGGTAGGTGCCATCTCTGTATGGCAGTTCTGGCTGAAGGCATGTGGGCAGAGAAGTATTCCTGTCAGGGCTGGCCTTCACCCTCCCTGTATGACCCTCTGGATCCTTTTGCTAGCCAGCCTGGACCTGCACATGGAAGCCACAGAGAAAAGATTCAGGAAGTCGGTGCCACCACATGGATGAGGGAGACAGTGCCTGCTAATCAGAGATGCTATTTTGGATTTATGTGGGCCAACATCATATGGAGGCTTTGAGATCTGAGGGTTTTGTCTGTTCCAGCAGCTAATGCTACCAAATCAGTGAATGGAAGAGTGGGGTTCAATTTTGTGTACCTGGTCCCCCACATTCCTGTATTGCGGGGTGTTGAGTGAGGCTGAGGGACAGTGAGTTACAGCAATTTCTCAAGTCTCTGTGTGTGTGCATGTGTGTTTGTGTGCACAAGAGCATTCATATGCGTATGTGTATGTGAGGCTGTGTGTACTAGAGAGTTACAGTAAGAAAAATCTACACCCCTCTCCCAGGGCCCACAAGCTCTGTGTGTGAGGGGGGCGGATAAATAATACCTATCCTATACTGCTATGCTTGGAAATATGCTAGCCATCATCCTGTGTTCCTTCTCCCATGCTCTCCTTTCCTGTCCTTCTCTTTCCCCCTTGAACTCCTCTTCTTTCCCTATCACACATGCACCTGAAACTTACCAACCCTCTTTACCTCTGGCATGGCCCCTCCATGTCTGTCCAGGGCTATGGAGCTAAGGGCACAGGATGTTATGAGGACATGGTTGACCCGGAGCAGCAGGCTGGACAGGTGCAAGGTCAGGGTCAGACCTCATCTCTGACTCCTGCCCAGTGCTCCATCCATGGGCTTCTCTTCTGCCAGAAAGAACTTGAAGTCCTTCCTTTCCAGCCCCCTTCAAAGCCTCCCCAGAGCCACAGTGTCTTGGCCTTCCCTCCCTCAACCCTCTTAGCCTTCTGCAGAGGGACCAGGCAAACCATGCACCATTGCCACATGGATGACCAAGTGCCAGCCCTGTCACAGGCCTAACTAGTGAACTGATTAAACTCCCACTTGCCTTATTAACCAGAAGCCCACTGTCTCCCTCTTGAGGGTCCCTCTTTTCACCCTTGAATTGGTCCTAACCCACTGGAGGGACCAGATGGTCGGTCCCCTGTTTGTATGCTTGAGAGTGAAAGCTGGGGTCCCTGTGCCTGCCTCTGCTGGTGTTTCATCTATCCACCACACAGTGTCACTGTGGAGCTGCAGGTCCACATAGAGGCCCTGCCTACTTAGCACTGCTGGGCCCAGCTCCTGGGGTGGTGGGAAGGATGGTCTTGTCCTGTTCTTCCCTTACCTCTAAGTGCTGGCTGACCCAAGAGCATGGGTCACAGGACCTGCCCAGTCTTGGCTAGTCATCAAGAGCCTTATGCCCCATAGATCGGCATAAGGGTCTCATAAGACTCCTCCCCTTATGTCCCATCAGGAAGGAAAGTTCCACCCCAGCCCCAATTCCAACCCCGGAGAGGACTGCCCGGTGAAAACAAGGTGGTGTTCTGGACACTTCCTTTGGAACAAAGAAAAATAAATTCTAGACTTCATTCATAAATTCATTCTTTCCAGGGTACCCACGGCAGGGGCCAGGACAGGGTGAGCATCCGTGTGAGGAGAACCTAGGGCCTGCATTCTGCCCCACATAGTTCTCATGCCAGGCCTACAATGCTGCTTCTTGCATGCATTCCTTTGTTCTGGAAAAGGGCACTGGTCTTCCGGAGTTCCGTATTTAAAAGCACATTTCTGGGCAGAGTCAGGTCTGGGCCTTCTGTCATCTCTGAGTTAGTAGAGTCTGGCCTTTTAGCAGTAGTGACTCCTAACCTCATTTGAGTCCTGGAGACTTGAGAATCCCATAAGAGCTTTCGACAGGCTCTTCCCCAAACTGCACATGTGTGTATATACAAACATACTGACTGCTTTTAGGGGCCCCTGGGGTGTTCACTGGCCTGTGTCTGGTTAAGGACCCCTTACTTATTAGAAATTATGTGCAGGAAAGCGGGCAGGGATCCCAGAGAGTACCCAACCCTATCTCTTTTGCAGTCCTGCAGGTGGCTCTGTCTGGCACTGGGTTGGGGGTTGCTCCCTTGGCAGCAGCTCTGGATACCCAGTTTGGGTCACATGCAGATCTCCTGGGAATCCTACTGGGAGCTTGAAGAGAGGCCCCCAAACAAGTAGACAGGCTGCTCAGGGCTGAGAGCACAGAGAGCCACATCTAGGCAGACACTGTTGGATATCCTTTAGCGCTGAGATCAGGGGAGTTTGTGTTCCCATCCAACAACCCCAAATGTGGCAGCCTCACTCCCTTGATTGAACTTCCCAAAACTCCCACCCCTTAATTCCAAGACTTCCTGCCATTCTTAACTTGTTTGGAAAGCCCAGAAGGAGAAGGAACCAGGTGCTGGCATGGAGCCTGCTCACCCTCGCACTGTGGGTGCTCCTTTCTGTGTGGCTCAGAGAACTGATGCACGTAAGAGCACCAGCGACCAAGAGGCAGCACTGGGTTTTGAACTCAGATCAGGCTGTTTCTAGACCTGTGCTCTAGGCATCCTGAAACTTCATTTACTGGGCAGAGTCCAAAGGACACGGTCTCCAGGGTCTAGAAGCCACCCTTGGGACCACAGGGAGAAGGCCAGCAGGTGAAGGGATAGATTCTGGTTGGGAAAATAGATAAGATTAGATCAGAGTACATACATAAATCACTGAGCAGAGTGGCTGGCTCTGGAAAAGCCAGCTGTGTTCTCCAGCTCTGTGGAACCCACTTGATCCTGACCCTTCTGAGTGATGACCTGGCCGGTGGGGTCCATGGAAGAGGAGCATGCCAGGCACACTGGGGTTAAGGTGACCCTGGGCTGGGCTCCTGTGCACAAGATTTGATGATCAGTGCCCTCACTCTGTGATGCCCTCACCAACCAGCCAAGGAACCAGGCCTTGGTCCTCCTTGGGATCACAGGGCACAGATGGCAGCTGGGTCACTCAGTGCAAGGAGGGTAACTCCTCCCAGGGACACCAGGCCTTCCCTCCTGGCCAACAGTTCCTGCCCCAGTCTTTGGGCTCTGGCTTTGAAAGCTCTGACCACTGGTAGGAGTGTAGCTCAGGGGTAGTGCATGTGCTTAGCAGCATGAAGCCCTGGATTTGATCCCCAGAAGCCCCCCAGCACACACACAGCTGCAGTGGGAAACGCGTTTCCTCTCTATCAGAAGAGCTCAGCACAGACCCTTAGTCCCATTTATTTGCCTTCCTGTCTAGCCAGCCAGCCAGTATGGATGTCCAAGGACTCTGGGCTCCCATACAGGAGGCAGGAAACCACTGCCCATCTAAGGAGAGGGGGTAACCTGCAGCTTTGTGCCAGGGGTGTAGGGCACCCAGAACTCCAGTTGTCTCAACAAGGGGCCTCAGTATTGTGGCTAGTGGACTAATAACGCTGTCCCTCCTGTGAGGGGCAGCTGCCTGCAAGGGTCTATCTCAGTAGCATTCTTATGGTTCCCTAGTGGCTAGGTGAGCATGGTGTGGAGGTAGATATAAAACAGAACTTCCTTTCCCCAGCAAGATTTGTAAGAGCAAGAGCCTGAGAAGAATTTATTGTAAAAGTGGCCAGGTCCTTGCGAACCACCACAGATGTTCTGGGGACCCACCTGTCACGTGGCCACAGGACATAAGTTCTGGCAAAGCACAGGGGAAGAGTAAGAAAGGAGATTGATATTTAGTGCATGGTAGGAGTATGGGACTTGGGGCTTCAGGTTTCCAATCTCCCTTCTTCATTTATTAGGGTGCAATCTTGGGCAAGTTAGTTAACCACTGCGTCCTCAGTTTCCCTAGCCATAAAATAGTGGTAATACTTACTTGTTACTGTGGATTTTATTATACAAATATAGTACCTGGTCCCTACTACTCACCTGCAGTATGCTTGGCACCCACAGGTTCCCTGTTCCGAAACTGCACGCAGGATGGCTGGTCGGAAACCTTCCCCAGGCCTGACCTGGCCTGTGGGATTAATGTGAATGACTCTTCTAATGAGAACCGGGTAAGCCTGTCAAACGACACCCCCTCAATACTGGGATGGAGGCTGCAGGGTGATGGCCTGAGCATGGACGGGGAAACCAGGATGGGCAGGGGTCAAGGACCGGGGGCTGCCCAAATCCCCTACCTCTCCTGCTCACCCAGGTCTATTATCCTGCTTCATTGCCAGGTTTCCTTGCCTGGGGGTGAAGGACCCTGGGCACCGTGAGCTTTGCCATATGCCACCACAGACTGGGGTGCTTTATTCATTAGACCGGAGAAGCCATGTGCAGCTAAATGCTCAGAGCCAGGCTGGTGAATGTGCCCTTCGTGGGGCTGGGGAGGACTTAATTGCTCTGTGCCTCAGTTTCTTCATTGAGGAAATGGGATTAATAATAATTCTGACTGCACAAGCTGGTCAAGAGAGCCAAACAACTTAACGCAAGGATGTGCTGAGATGCATAGTCTGTGCTCACCAGGAGCTATGGACTGAACCTCAGAAGCTCCTGTTCAGGGCCACCCTCAGGGATAGGCATGGCTCACTGAGTCACTGAGACAGGACAGCCCTGTCCCTAGAGGCTCACATGGACTTGTGAACCCTTTAGGACTCTCTGTGGAGACAGCACTTCCCTGATAACTCTTTTCCTGACAGATTCTTACACATCCTTCATGACTCTACTTGAGCTCAGCTCCAGCCCTTTCTTCCCCTTTCCCAAGGAAAGGCCCCCTCTGGGCTCTGTGCCAGTGTCTGCCTGTGACCTACCATGTTTTCGAAGCCTATGCCATGTGTGTCCACGTCTCTCACTAAAATGTGAGCTCCCTGAGGCTCACATGCATTCACTTAACAAATATTTATTGAGCACCTATTAGAGGTGATATGTCCTGCAGTGACGGACAAGAAAATCCTACTCATTTCCAGTGAATTTTTGTTGTTAGGGTTGTTGTTATGACTGAGGCCCTGGGTTTGATCCTCAGCAAACCACCCCCACCAAAGTTTGGTGTTTACATTTGCCATGTGATAGCTGCTTTATATAAATTACATTAAATCCTCAGAATCACCTAGCAAATTCATGGTACCATTGAACAAAAGTCCATTTGTTCATTACCAAGTTCCATTTTGCAGATGAGGAAACTGAGGCTCAGGGGGGTTAAGGAACATGCTTATAGGACTTAAAGCAAGTTCAGCCCCCAAAGAGCCAGTGTTGGGTCCTCTAGCTTCTGTCCCCTCACTGTTAAAGGGGATGCCCTTGGGAAGTGTACCTTTAAGCTGTTTCATTAGCTAACCGCCAGCTGGGCATACAGGGAGAGAGGAGCTTGTCTGTCTCTTGGACGGGGTGGGGTTTGTTGGAGAGGGACTATCAGAGTTAAGGGAGAAAGGATGAAGCTGGGTGGCAGACACACCCACTTGTGAATATTTTCTAAGATGTCTCTTTTCTAGACAATCCATGTTGTCCTTTCTGAAAGAGGGTAGGCAGGGGTCCAAAGTGGAGGATGAGGCAGTTTCTTCCTTTCCAAGACTTTTCATCTGGTTGGGGAAAATACACCAGGCCTTTGGATCTGGCCAATTGGAGCAATTTAAGAGCTGACTCAACAGGAGTAATCAGGGGGCACATTCAGTCTTGGAGGGGTGGCCAGAGGACCCTGTCCTCTGCTGATGACCATGTCTGTCATTGCCTATATGAAGGCTTAGGTACATCACCTTTGTAAAATCCATAAATCTAAGAAGTAGTATTCTTAGGATGGGTGACAGGGTGGAGGGTCAAAATGCTTTGGGCTCAATGGCTGGTTTAATAAGAAAGTGAGACTCATGTATCAGGGCACACTGAAAATGGGCTTCAGGATTCTTTGATGAAGAAACATGGCAAAGGCCAGGTTATTTCCATCTCCCTACCACCTTGGTAGTGGCATCCTGGGGCTCCTGTTGTAAGATGACTACCATCAGTGATTGCAGCCACAGATATCCCTATTCCTGTTTGCCTGGAGGGACAGCCTCTATGGTTTCTTTCTCAGAGCAGGGACATTGCTTTCCCCAAACCCCAGGAAGCCCATCCTCACATCTCATTGGTCCAAAGTGACTTAGACCCACCCGTCTCTGAACCAATCATTGGCAGAAGAATGGGATACATAATTGGGTTGGGCCATTGGTTTTCAAACTGTCTGTCCTTGTGATCTCTTTATACCCTTAAGAATTGCTGGAGATCCCAAAGAGCTTTAGATTTTATGATTTATATCTATCAAAACCACACAATGAGAACATATGGCTTAGATTAGTCAACTGGAAAGAATGGAGCCTGGGGCCTTAACCACAATGTCTGTGGCAAGGTTACAACCATCAAATCCCAAATCATGGGGCTAAAATTTAAAAAAGGTAATGCAAAATTGTGAACTTAACTCTGGGACTGTTGAAAGAGGCTTTTAGACCCTGAGTCCTCAGTTGGAGATGTTAAGAGCAGAGAGTCCAAGGGTTACATAAAGAGTCCAGAGAGCAGGGCTCTTCCCAGGCCACCCAGCCAGCAGTGACCACAGCCACGGGACAGTGTAGGATGTTCAGCTTAACATTCCACACGTGTCACCCTGAGCCACCTCGGTCTCATACAGGCTGGTCCAGGATGGGGCTGACACCCTCAGTTACAAGGCTTATCTTGTATGTGGCAAGATTATAGGATGTCATGTTGATTCCCAGTTTTTGAGATTTCACAGATCTTTGATGTCCCGAATAATAGGAACCATTCATCTAAAGCAACTCAATGTCTTTCCAGCCTCTTTCCTTCATTCCTAAGAAGGGACTCCTGGCTTCTGGGAGAGCAGTGGGATCAGGGGGGGAAGCTCAATGTCATGTAGCCAACACTCTATCATTACCTCTTGCTGTCGAAAAACTTTTGGTTATGGGCTGAGGATGTAACTCAGTGATAGAGCATTTGCCTAGCTTGTGTGAGGCCCTAGATTCCAGTAGTACAGAAAAGGAAAAAATTATCTTTGGTTATTCTAAGTCAAAAGTTGGTTACTTGTTCCCATTACAACTTGCACATGAAGTCTTGCCTTTCTCTTACATGTCAATCATTCTATTGTTTTCCTCCTCTAAATTGTTTTTATCTCTGGTGTAACACACCTGGATTTTCTCCTGCACTCTTCAGATAACACAATCACTTTCCTGCTGAAATGCTCCAGTTTATTAATGTGCCTCTTAAAATAACATGTCCAGACCTGGACGCCACATTCCCAATATTCCAGCCTGGTCAGCTGCCCACCGCACTCCATTAGTGTAACTGAAATAGGCCTAGTTTTTTAGCAGCTACCTCATACCTCAGACTCCATACCATCTCATTCCCCTGACTCATTTCGAAGGGCAGGTAGTAGGGTGGGGAAAAATACCATTCACTGAGTCTTCTAAATGTCAGGAGTTGTCTAGATGTTACCAGTTTTATTTTAATCCCTCTCACAACTGTGGAACCAATAACAAGATTGAGCACCAATTGAGCAGTGAAGGAAACTTTTATTCTTGTCCAAGAATAGGAAAAGTGAGAGATAAACTCAAAAATCAACTTCTCAACCAGCTTAAATTGAAGAAGTTATAGATACAGGGTAAAAATGAGCAGGAAGAGCAGGATAATAATGAGGAAGAATAGTTATGTCTTTTCTGGATATGGGTAGAAATTTTCTGGGAATTTAGGGGCCACTACTTTCTCCTTTTATGGCTCTGGTGGTCATCAGGGAAACTGGTGTCATGGTTGGGGTGGGGGAGTTGTTCTTCAGCACGCAGGTGGCATTAGAATGAAGTTAGAGGGTGACTCCAGTCACTCTAGTAGCCATCTTAAATCCAGCCAGTTTTGCTTAGCCCACATGAAGAGGAACCTCTAGCCTATAGGCATCCTGTCCTCAAAGGCAATCAGTTGTGGGGGGTGGGCTAGAAATTAGTCATCAAGCAGGCAGTACAAGATTGAAGCAGGGTAACATAGATATGCCATCTGATCTCTTATTTCTAAAAGCTGCAAGGTAGATATTATTATTATTATTATTATTATTATTATTATTGTTTTGAAATGAGGAATCTGAGGTACAGAGGAGTGAAGTAATTTATCCAAGGACACACAGCTGATGAGTAAATGTCCTGGGTTGGAAGGCTTTTCCCCTGGCTCTAAAGCCCATGTTCTTTCTCTACAGTGCACTGACATGGTGGAACCTGGACCATTCTAACCTCATATGAACAGCTGTCAGCCAGGTTTCCCTTCTACTATTCTTGTGCCTTTTTAAAAAATTACATTTTTCTTTTGGTTATAAAATAATATTTACCCACTGTAGGCAAATTAGAATTACAAAAAAATATGAAAAACAAGAACAGTTCTACTCACAAACCTATAATACAGAGTTAACCACTTATTAACATCTAATGTATCTTCTTACAGTGTTGTTTCCATGTATATATGGAATTGAATCCCAATGGAATGGCTGCTATCTGATCATTCTGACTGACAAAAGAAGGGCAATTTCATATCATTCAGCCTGATGCTTTTACACACACAGCTGGTATCACACCACACATGTAAAATTGGTACTCTGCTTTTTCATATAACAATACATCAGCATGTTCTGATTTCTTTAAAAGCTCTTGGAAAACAACATTTTAGCAGTGATGTAATATTAAAGTCATTTGAGTTTAAAACAATTCAGTCAACTATTGGTCTGTTGATGGACATTTGGGGTTTTAAAATCGCAAATAGTTTTGTAACAAATATCTTTATATATAAATCTGCTTTTATATTTCTGACTATAGTCCTCCTTCAGAATCTGCAGAGGATGGGCTCCAGGACCCTACAGATTCCTAAATCAGAGGATCCTCAAGTCCCTTACATAAAATAGCACAGGACTTATGCCCATCCTCCTTTGTACTTTAAATTGTCTTGATATGACTTGTAACACCTAATACAGTATAAATGCTATGTAAGCAATTGTTTGCTGTACTGTTTAGGGAAGAGTAACAAGAAAAAAATCTATAAAAGCTCAGTACAGAAGCAAGTTTTAAAAAATATTTTTTGTCATGGTTAGTTGAATCTATGGATAGATACACCACAAATACAGAAGGATAACTATTTCTTAAAGTTAATTCATGAAGGGGGACAAGAGAAATAGATATTTTGGCTGAACATGGTGGTGCACACCTGTAATCCCAACACTCTGGAAAACTGAAACAGGAAAATCACAAGTTCAAGCCCAGCCCGAGTAACTTTAGCAACTTAACAGTACTCTGTCTCAAATTAAAAAATAAAAATGAGGGGCCGGGGATTTAGCTCAGTGGTTTCGCTGCCTGCTGCGCAAGCACAAGGACCCGAGTTCGATCACAGGTACCAAAATAAATAAATAAATAAATAAATTTTTAAAAAATAAATAAAAATGAGTTGGGGATGTAGCTCAGAATGAAGGCCTAGGTTTAATCTCCACTATTGAATGAAAACAAACAAACAAAATAACAAACAAATGATTATTTCAGGGGTTCTTGATACCTATTTCCATATTACTTTTCATAACCTACCCAATTTTTCAATTCCACCATGCCCTTCCTGGATAGAATATTATTACTTGTAGTTATTTGTTCATTTGGTTGGTTAAAGAAAATATCATTGTTTTTTAGTTCTTTTTCCCTGAGGTGATGGTTCTGTTCTACTTCTTCCTGGGCAGAGAATTTATCTGGAGCTTTTCAACAGTGGGATTCTGGGTGTCTTACTTAAGGACGTTGACAAACTGGAGCACATTAATTGAGCTAAATGGTGAAAGGTCTGGAAAGAAGTTAAAGCATGAATGCTGAGAAGATGAGTGAGGGACTCATGCACAAAAACCACTTTATTTGAAAAGAACAAGGCTCTATATAATCTGTATAACTTTTCTATTTAAGACTGATCTTATGTACAAGACAAACTTAGTTTACTTTAAGTGGCTCCAGATCGCAGAAGAAGGACCAATAGGTACAATAAAAAGTAGCCAATTTTAGCTTCACATTAAAATAACTGATATTTTGCACCAGAACGACTTACTGGAAAGATAGTATGCCCCTCATCCCTAGAGGTATTCAAGCAAAGGCTTGGATGTAGCCTGTTGGTAAGAGGGCTTACACATAGGATGGTAGTTTGAGTAGGCAACAGAAAACCCTAAGAACTTGTCCAAAGCAAAAGGTTAGGATGTTATGCATCTGTGCATGGTACCCTCGGGTGTGAACAGCAGGGCTGGGGGCTTAAACTGCCTGAAGCAAGTGCATTGAGGCACAGAAAGGCCAGCGAGGTGGGTGGGCAGGGCTGATGTGTGTCTCTCCTCAGCACGTGTTCCTGCTGAAGCTGAAAGTCATGTACACCGTGGGCTACAGCTTCTCCCTCGTCATGCTCCTGGTCGCCCTCAGCATTCTGTGTGCTTTCCGGTGAGAACAGGCTCCCATCTCCCATCTCTGACCCCTGTCTCTGCTTAATGGCTCGGGACAGAAAGAGGCAGGTCTGGGTGAGCTGCCTTGTCTTCTCTCCATCTAAAGCTTTCTTGGGCAAAATTGAAGTTCCAGGGGCCACATTAAATCCTCTACTTATTCAACATTCAGTAAGCGTTATTGAGACTTTAATGAGGCCGGTTGCTTTACATCTATTATTTCTAATTTTCTCATGATGCAACAAAATGCCTATCATTACCTCCACTTTGCAGGTGTCTAGTCGGACTCTCAGTTGCCAGAGACAGAAATCTACCTCAAACAGCTTAAGAAAAACAAAGGTGACCCTTCCCACATCACTGACAAGTCCAGGGGCACCTGCTTTAGTCATGGCTGGATGCAGGTGGTCAGGGCGACAGCAGAACTAGGTCTGTCTCTCTCCATTTCTGGGCTCTGTGTTGGTCTTATCCTGGGCAGGCTCTCTGCAGACGTGAAAGGGAAAACCAGCAGTAGCTGCAGGGGTAAATTCTACCAGCTCAGCAAAACCGGGGACAGACAGCCTCTTCCCCTTTGGCTCTAATAGAAGTTCTAGGGAGTTCTTATAGGCTCATCCTAGTTTACATGCCCCACCCTGAGCCAATCACTGTGGCCAGAGATGGAGAAAGAATTCTGATAGGTCAAGTCTATTATGAAGGTGAAGAGCACACAGTCAGCCCCACTCAGAGTGGAATGGGTTCTCCATAAGAAATCTGGTGTCTGGTGCCAGAATAAGGGGAACAAGTAACAGACTTTGGGTCTCTACAACAGAGGAAACAGTGGGGGCTGGAGATGATGGTAGGGCAGAATATATATTGCCCCTACATACCTAGCTTAAAAAAAAAACTATACTATGGGACAGAATCCATTGGGCTTCTGGGGTCTGGAGTCTTCTTTTAAGTTCTGCTAACAGAGATGTGACCAAGAAAGAGCTGATGTCCAGGACCTTGATTTCCCCAGGATGGGGCCTGGTGGGCCTGGCTGAGACCCCATAGCCCTGCTCTCTCTCCCTCCAGGAGGCTCCACTGCACCCGCAATTACATCCACATGCATCTGTTCGTGTCCTTCATCCTGCGTGCCCTGTCCAACTTCATCAAAGATGCTGTGCTCTTCTCCTCGGATGATATCACCTACTGTGATGCCCACAGGGTAACATGCCTGGGTGGCCCAGGCCATGGCCAGGCCTTCCTGCCTCCCCCAGATTAACTTTAAAGAGGGTCGTCGCCCAGTTGTGCTAAAGCATTCTCCTTCCAAATGCCCAGATCACTCCTGATTTGTTGCACCCACTCTGTGTCACTTAAGAATCCCTTTCGCTATAATAACAACAAAAAACTGTTGATTGGTGGTTTAAACAAATGGTGGATGCTTCCCACATAAGCAGTCCACAGGTGGGTATCCAGAGGTACACAGCATCTCCATGATGTTATGAAGGACAGAGTCTCTTTGTCTACTTCTGCTCTGCTGTCCTTAGTGTAGGCCTTGATCTCAGGCTTTACACCACATAGTTGCAGTATGGCTTCTGCAACCTCTGGCTGCATGTCCATACTCTAGGAAAGGAGGAAACTCAAAGGTCAAGCATGTTTCTTTGAGACCCCTTCCTATACTTCATTGACTAGAACTTTGGAAACTGGGAGATTCTTTTACTATCATAGTCTCCATAGCAGAAGCAAGCAATGGAGAGAGACTGGAAATTGAGATTGATTCAGCCAATCTACCTGCTACTTCCCACCAGTCACATTTGTTTGTATTGGAGAGAGGGGTGGGAGAAGAGAGAGAGAGAGAACACATTTACTGACTCAGGCTGAGTGGTCTCTTTTGTAGAATCCATGTCTCTCCAGGATCAAACAAGAGATCCAGACTGGAAGTCAACAGACTTCAATTCTGCCCCCCACTTCTATTACTGAGCAGCATTGGACAAGTCTAGCAATTCCCTTCTTGTGTTCTATTAAGCATCAGACCCACAAGCCATGGATGGCTGTGCTGGGAGTTAGAGGAAGGCCATTAAGCATGACCACAGCCAGCAGTGTGCCAGGGGCCCTCTTCTTGCTTGGGTTTGGTCTCATGGCAGTCCATGCACAGCCCTAGGCCCATCCTTGGAGCTGTCCTCTCCCCAGAGGACATCTTGGCACAAAGAAGGGAGACTCACATAGTAGAGGAGCTGCACTGGGGTAGGAGACTCTGCCCCATAGTAACCTGGGCACAACCCAGGCATCCCTGCAGGGGATGTGCCCATTGAAAGACACACCCAGTGTGGCTTCTCTCTTGGTATTTGTAAGTCTCTAATCAGGGGTCCTTTTGCCATAGTCACTGTTGCATCTTAGTATAGTTGGCATACCTCTTCACCATGTTTCCAGGGACACTGAGCTTAGAAAGCTTGTCACCTCAGCTCAGAAATCCCTTCCCTCTCTAAACTTTAGATTCCTTATTAGACTAACAAGGTGTGTGGGCGATATCAGATACAACTTTCAAGTGAAGAAATGTATTCCTCACTAAACCTGGCAGCTGGTTCCAGAATTTGAAACTCGTTCCTCTCCTGTGATGGCTCCTTGGCCATCTTGACTGTATCCATGGGCCTGTGGACTCCTCTCTCTCCAGAATTCTGTGGGCCTGAATTCCTGACAGAGGAAGGGCACAAGAGATGGCCTTGAACCCTGAGACTCACCCTGTGGCCTGGCCCCTGCCTCCCATATAACCCTGTTGCTTCCTCTGGGCTGGTCACCGGAGGGAAGCCCATTGGCACCTGGCCTGGCCTCATCTGCCTCTCTCTGTCCAGGTGGGCTGTAAGCTGGTCATGATCTTCTTCCAGTACTGTATCATGGCAAATTATGCCTGGCTGCTGGTGGAAGGCCTCTACCTTCACACGCTCCTCGTCACCTCTTTCTTCTCAGAAAGGAAGTACCTTCGGGGATTCGTGGCCCTCGGATGGGGTATGTTTCTCCACTGCAGCGTACCTGTGTGGTAAGCAGGAAAGGACACTGAGATGAGAGGTGGATTTGGTTTCTAGCTCCACATCTAACTAACTTGTCTAACTTTCAGCAATTGCTTGATGTTTAACTCTCCAGTTATTTATCTATAAAATGGGAATACAGATAAAATTTAGCCCTAGTTTCTGGCACCCAAAGCCTTTTACAGTTTGGTTCTACCCAATACTTGTTGTCTTATCTTCATAGCCAATTCATTCATATGTCCTCTTTCTTGCTTCCTGTCTGTTTCAGGATACTTTCAACTGCTGGTATCAAAAGTCTGCCAGGCAGACTTTACACATAAAGGAAATTAATTGGCTCATAAACGACAACCCCAGGGACCACCAACTTCAGACAGGCTAAATCCAACATTTAGCAATGATTCCTTCTGTCTCTCCTTTGCTTTTTGGAATATCATCCTTCTCTTCAGGCGGGTGCTTCCAGTGTAATTGCCAGCAGCTTCTGGACTACATGCTTCTTTGTTAATTAGCTATAATAAGAGAAAGTTAGACCATGTTCCATGTTTCCAAGGAAGTATTCTGAGCTTCACTCTGAATGGACCACTGAAATCTCATACATGTCCTTGAACTAATCACAGAAACTTGAGAGAACAGAATATGCTGATTGATTACACTACTCAAATCACATGACTTCTGAAAGGAAATTTAGGAGTCAGTTTTTAGGAAAGAGAGAAGATGATAGCAAGTCAGCCACCTGTAGGCCCTTGTTGTATCTCTTCCTCCTTCCCTTTCTGATCAAAGAATATGGTAAAAACTAAGCACATACTCTTGAGCACATACTATATGTAGGTCTCTGGGTGAAGCACTTTATGTGGATTATTTAATTATCACAGCAACCTCCAGTGTCCTCTCAGAGACCTCAGCTCAGAGATGGGTCATAATATGCTCAGTTCATACTGTAAAGGTCAGACCCATTATTCAAACCAAGGCCTGTCAATATCCAAAGCCTTTTAACTCTTATCCTACCATTAACAAATATCTGTTTGTCTATCCACCCATCTGTACACTTACCCATCTACCCACTCATTCATTCATCCACTGACCTATCACCCATAGACCCATCCACCCATGGATCCATCTACCTGTCCATCCATTGATCCATCCATCCATGCATCTACCCATTTATCCATCTATCTATTGATCCATCCACTATTCATTTGATAAACGTACATATAAGTTATCCACTGAGTTCTAGGCAAAGAGCCAGGTTCTTATGAGGGAGCCACTAGCTTATAGAGATAATCATGTGTCCTAGCCATTAGCTTCATTTGATTTTGTCCTGGTACCTTTAATTAAGAAGTGTCCCTGCCAGGAATCCCGCCCCTGCCTTTTCTGCTTGCCTAAATCCTTACACGCAAGGGCTAGAAGCCCTATTATACCAGCGGGGAGATCACCTGAACTGGCAGAGCACACTGAGCCCTCCTGCTTCTGAACCTTGGCGGCCTGGTTAGCACATGACCCTCAGCTGACAGCAGCCAGGCTGTGCAGATGTCTGCAGAGCCAGCAGTCCCATAGGCCTGGGGTCCAGGGACTTGCCTTATGCAGCTGACTGTCAAAAAGGACCCCATTTGGAGTTCGATTCACTGAGCTGTGAAGCCCAAACCTGCCAGGATTTAGCCTTATGAACATGGGTGGTTTTCTGGTCTATATTGTCAGGATCATGGTTTTCTCAGCATTCTTTGAACACTTCTTTTTGTCCAGAGATTATAAAAATATAGAAATTGCAAAGAAGAAAAGTAATTCTGTCACACAAAGGATTTGCAATTCAGTGGAGAGACCAAATTACATTGTGATAATATGTCTGTTATGAGTTTTTAAAAGATTTACATGAAGTATAGAAAACAGTCCTTTCTTCTTTGAACATCTATTGAGTATCTGCTGTACATCAAGCCCCATGCTGGGCTCTGGGGGATTTCGTGCTTCTACAACAGCAGCAATTCCTTCCCTCAGTGGCTGTCTGCCCATGAAGCCCCAAAGAGACCTTCATGTAGGGGCTCTGGAAGGCCTAAAGCCCTCAATCTGTGAGAATCATTTCTCATGCCAAAGAAATGATCTTATCTCAATTTTCTTAGAATTGCTTAAATGGATACATGGCTCATATAAGACTGCAAGGAAAATAATCCTCTTTCTCTCTTTCTCTCTTTCTTTTCTTGTGGTACTGGATATTGAACCCATGGCCTTCACACTGAGCTACATCCCCTGCCCAATTTTTATTTTTGATTTTGAGACAGGGTCACACAAAGTTGCCAAGTTGCCCAGACTGGACCCACTTTGGATTTTTAATGCTTATTCAAAGCTCTTGCTTTTTTTACAGTGACTGAGATGTCAGTCTGTGCCCAGGTAAGAGTGATACCTCTGACTTCCATGGTGGATGAGCCATGCTCCCAGTCAGCAGCTAAATGTGGACATGTGCTCTGTTGATCCTGTATCAGCATCATGGGGAGCCAGAGTCTCTGAGTCAGTGTCTCTAGGGCAGAACCCAAGACCACATGTCTATCAAGTTCCCCAGCAGTGCAGATTCTGTTGGTCCAGGAACCTTCTGAGAACCACTGACTTAAACAATTATTAATTTTTAAAACCACCAGTTTGTGCTAAGGATAGGAGCTGATTAACAGGTGCCCCTTGAAATCCATGGCCTGTGCTGAAAGCACTGAAATTGAGGCAGGGATTTTTTTAAAAATCAAAGCCGTACATATAGTCCTGTTAAAAAATTAACTGAAACTAGAAGGTTTGTAATGAACAAAAGCATCCTCCTCCTCCCACTTCCTGGCCCTGAGGCAATGATCTCCAACTCTTGCTCTTTGTGGTGCTGGGGATGGAACCTAGGCCTTGCCCATGCTAGGCAAGTGCTATACCTCTGAGATACACCCCAGCCTGCTTGCCCTTCAACCCTTTTAGCTGTTCCTCCTAATATTTGCTCTTGTCCTTCTAGACAACATGCTGCTCTTTCTTCATCTGTTCTTTTGAAGTATTATTTGTTGATCCTTCAGGATAAAAGATAAGGATATGAAATTTTGCCTCTACTAACCCCCAATTCTTCCATTACAGGTTCTCATAATTTTTGTTTAAATAGTAATGTGTACATTATTATATCTATGTAAATATTGTGTTCTACTGAGACAATTGGTGTACAATGATTTTTCTTTCAATTCACTTAATGTTTTATTTTTATGGAGTCATTTTTTACTATTTTTATATCGCTGTTGGGCTGGGGATTTAGCTCAGTGGTTCTGCTGCCTGCCTCACAAGCACAAGGTCCTGAGTTCGATTCCTGGTACCAAAAAAAAAGTATATTTTTATATCACTGTCATTAATTCCCCCAAATCTCTGGAAAACTCTCTAGTACTATTTTACAAATCATCAACTGCAATGGAAGTCTATCAGATCCTATTTGTTTTGTCAACCTTGATTTAAAAAATCAACCAGAGGGATATTCTCCAAAGAATAATGACATTTATTTGGGAATACATGTGCCATAGTAAACTGGGACATGTTCAAAGAAGTTGAGCAAGAAGTTTTTAAAGACAAAAATGAGAAGGATTGCATCAGATATTTTAAAACAATCATCTTGGCTACTGTTATTAATAACCGAGGGGATGTTAATCTGAGGTTGAACAGTTAGTTGCTGCACAGATGTCCTTGTGGAAGTGTGTTTTGTGTAAGGTTGTGGTGACCTCTGTGCAAACTTGTGGTTCTGGCAGAGTCTTTTGTGATAATTATTCTGTCTAAGAATCCTTCATAAGATCTCAGCTTTAATTTTTTTTTTTTGATTAGAGTTGACATAAGTGACCCCATTTTTATTCTGACAACTTTTACATAACAAATTGTCACTAACTTGGTGGCTTAAAACAACAATTGTCTTTTCTCACAATTCTGGAGGCCAGAAGTCTGAAACCAAGAAGTTGGCAGGTTGGTTCTTATGGGAGCCTGTGGCGACCATCTGCTCCCTGTCTCCTCCTGGCTCCTGGTGGTTGCTGCTGGTCTGTAGCATTCCTTGGCTTGTAGCCACATCACTTCCATTTTTGTCTCATGGCCTTATGAATATGCTGGTCATATAGCAATAGGAGCCCATGCTAATCCAGTGTAACTTCATTTTAATTAATTGCAACCTCAAAGATCCTATTTCAAAATAAGGTTATCTTCCAGAGTTCTTGGTGGACCTGGATTTGGGGGACACTAATGAACTTAGTATACCTGTCACTGTTCTTTCTCCAGCTTTGTCTCTTCGGCTTGATTGCAGCTGGTTGTTCTCTAAACTTGCTCAGCAACTTGAACCTCTAATAGGGCATTTTCTTCATCTTCCTCTACAAATTGTGTTTCCTATTGTGTTTCTTGTTGCCCTCTCTTTGATTTACTCTCTTCTGTCTTGAAGCAAATCCTCCACTACGTGTCTAACAAAGAGGGCCTGGAGGGACATTTTTTGCATTGCATATCTGAAAATATCTTTGTTCCACTTTCACACCTACTCTGTCATTTTGCAGGGCATAGAACAACAGGTTAAAAACTCATGTGCCCCAGAAATCTTTTTTAAAAAAATTTTATTTTATTGGTACACTTTAAGTATACAATATAATGACATTCATCATTGAAAATTTGCACTTGTACATAATCTCTCTTGGTTCTTATTTTTCCCCCTTGCTCTGCCCTCCCTTCAACCCCTCCATTCCTCCCTATTTGCAAAGACTTTGTTTCCTTTTTTCATTTCCTCATATTAATTCCATTCCCTTCTTTCCTTTCCCCTACCCCTCCCACTTCCTCCCCCTTTGCCCCTTTTCTTCCTATTTCACATTATCTATTATACCTTTTAATCCTTATTTACACTTTCAGTTTCTCACAC